AAATATAAAATAATTTAATAATAAAATGAACACAATTAAATTAATATGATAGAAAGTGGATCCATATGGTTCAGGAATTCAATCAATGATCACGGGGTACTCCACCTGCAACTATGGACAAAACCACACTTGCTTTATCGAACCGATCCAATATTTTCCATGACCCACAGTCAAAGCAAAGGCTTATTAGCGGGTCACCAAAGTCTGGTCGATGGGCTAAGAAGTCGCAATCTCAGTCTGTGGATTACAGGTCCTCCTCTAGAGACAAGTCAAGGTCACCACGACTTGATGCGACCACAGCTCTATGGTGCATAAGGGTATCGCTCGCATATGCATATGTTTCATCCAAAGGTGGATATCTAGCTTTCCCGAATGATCTATCTATATTCATGCCGTGTGATAGAACATGGATGAGATTTTGACCCCTGTCTCTGTAGGTCTACAATCACACACAAGGATCACACAGTCCCTCGGCTCACTCATCTAAGCATAAGGTCCGACCTCCTCAAGGGCTAACCCAAAAACCCTCTCGGTTTATTTTTTTATACTCAGGTACCTTGGGTTTTCCAACTGATTGGTCTAGATCCTCAAGCACAGTCCGATATCCGTAAATATTATTTGCTTAGTATGATCTTCGAGGGACCATACTTCCAATGAATTTATGTTCTACTATAATAAATATTTTTTATTACACACTCATAAAGCCTTTGAAGGCACATAAACCCATCACTTCTCATACTCATTTCAACCCTCAAACATGACACCACCTCAATGCACTCTTGAAATAGTCATAAATGATGAATATATTGCTCAGAAATGTCACAAAAAATTAATATATCATTTGCATATTGCATTTGAGATGCGGCATTATAATATGGTATCGCCTTAAGCATAACCTGCCAAAGCGAGAGAAAGAGAAAGGGAATGAAAAAAGATGGAGAAAGGGATAAAAATAAACATTTATTTTGTAAGGATTTGTTATGTGAGGCAAATGTTTCTTTTCAACCCTTCCTTTCTCCATCACTCCAAACAATTCAATAAAATAAGAAGTTAGAAGATTCGTGGGACCATTCCAGTCCACTGCGTGTGCCAGGCACAGACGCAATTGATCGGGGCCAATTGAATTATGCTATAAAAAATATATTTTAAAATGATATATATTACTTTTCAAAAAATAAAAATTCAGAAAAATAAGAAGTTAGAAGAATATATCTATGTAATTTGACAATTTATCTTGATCATATTAAATGCAAAAACCTTATTTATTCAAACCTACTATTTTAGAGTAATGATCCTATGAGATCCTTCCACACCTATGTGTGTAGAAATTCAAAAGATCACCATTCAATTTAGCACAGATCTTTAGAAAAGTCAAGTCACACATCTATGTGATAACTTTTCTAGTGATTTGTGTCAAATTTAAAGGTGATCCTTTGGGTCCTACACACATGGGTGTGGGAGGCTCTCATTAATCATTATTTTAAAGTTTATTCTTTTTTACTAATAAAAATTGAATAGATATTTATAGAAAGCTCCGGTTTTATTTTTAAAATATTTAAAAATTGTCCCCTGTGTTTAATATTTATAACGAAGTCCTAATGAAAGTATAAAGTGCATTGTAATTTTATCTTGGAAAGGTGTTTAGTGAGTCGGACGACTTAAACTATTTTTGTGCAGTCTCCCTACAAAATATATCTCAAAGATGTATTTTTTATTCCAAATTTTAGAGTTCAATAATCTCAATTGTGACAATCATCTAAATTTAGAATTTTCTTTTTCAAAAAATACAAATATTATTTTTAAAATTTCTTTCTTCATCATCCATTTTAACTTTTAGCGCATGTGACATTTTCTGACATTCATATTAGAGATGTACATTAGATACAAGGGACTGCACGATAATAGGTGAGTCAGCTGACTCACCAAAACCGTTATCTATAAAATGGATTAAGCTTAAATTTGGTGTGTCTATATTTCTCATCATTACAGACCTATTAAAAAATGTAAATTTTTTTTTAAAAAAATAAAATATTAAAATACTCATGAATAGCATATGGGAATTTTAGTTATTTATTATTATTTAATTATTTTTTTAATATATTTATAAGTGTTGGTGGTAAGAATTATGTGCATACCATATTTGAGCTTCATCCAATTCATAGAAAAAGAGATAAAACTAAAATACATTTCATTCTTTTAGAAAGTGTAAATATGAGATGTAAGGGATCATTTTTACATTTTAAAACTTAAACAAGATGTTTTTGTAAATTTTCCAAAAATTTAAATAGTAAAAATTCTTCATTAAAAATAAAAAATTAAGAATGTACATTTTTTTCTTTTTTTTTTTAGAAATAAAAAATAAATAAAATTCAATAAAGATTCCTACTTTGTTTAGATTGAGAAGATATATTAAGACTTCGATTTGTGAAAGAAGTTTCCGGGTTTGTAAAGAGAGACCAAAAGACCTAAACAATAAATAAAAAAACAAAGACCTGAACAATAAATAAGAATGAGAGAGTGACCTTAACATATTAAAAAGTTCAGTATTAGCATAGAGGGGCAATGGTTTGGGTGGCCCGACCCGGGAAAACTATTGATGCAGAGAAAATTTTTTTTTTATTAGTTTTTTGGAGTTTATCTTTTAACTCAAGAATAAAAAGTGCATAGAGATAATTAGATGATTATAGCTTGAATTGATATTGATCAATTGGTTGGTTAGTTTAGGAATATAAATATAATAATGCTAAATAAAGTAGGTAATGTTTTCCCTTTTGGGAGAGGCTTTGAATAAAACGTGCCTATCTACCCAATTTGTTTTTGGTACGTGAGGTTAGAGAGGAGAGATGAAATAGTTTAAGAGAGAGAAAATAGGGAAGAGAGATAAAATAAGAAATTGCTTATTTCTTTAGTTTATTTAAGAGAGATTTCCTTTTGTAAATTAGTGAATGAGTTAATAAAATTTGGTCTCGTGAAAAGATTTCGTCTCGTGAAGAGATTATTTTCACGAGACTATTTTGGGGTGGATTCCCTTGCAGACATTTGAAAGATGATATATTTTCTAAATCTTATTTCTCTTTTTTTTCTTCTTTGTTTTTTTTTTTCATTTTTTGGTTTTATTTTCTCCCTGCATTAATTAGTATTTCTTTTTCTAGTTTTATTTTCTCCTTGCATTAATTGGTATAAAAGCAGCAAATTAGATCTGAGCAAGTTAGATCTAGAGAGATCCGGTTTGTTTTACAATGCCACCAAAAGTTAATCCAGCTAATGATCGTCGGGGACAAGCTATAGAAAATTTGAGTAAAGCACTAGAAAAATTAGAGGTTGTAGTGGTTGGAGAACCATATTATTCATGAAGTACAAATGATATTCATGAAGAACATATGATGCGACGGTTGGATCAGAGGTTGCAACGGTTGGAGAATTGTCTTCATCGTGAAGAAGTACTTGCAACCACATTGATCTTGCACCTGTTATCCCATGATGAACCCAAGTTGTAGATTCGTAAGGAAGAAATTTATAGGCCAGATCCACATTTTATAGAGCAACCACAAGATTTTAGTATTAAAATCAATCTCCCAAAATTTCATGGTCATGGGTGTTTATCAATTGAATATGGTGCTTCTTTGGAGCTGGACCCATTTCTAGTTCAGAATAATAAGCAGCCCAAGCTCGCATTCAACAGTTACTCTTAGCATACAGTCTTTGGTAAAGAGTCTTACATTAGTCTCACATTCAACAGTTACTCTTGGGATACAGTCTTTGGCAAAGAGTCTTACATTAGTCTTGAAGAAATTGAAGAGGATGTGTCAAGGTGCATGGTGGGATTACATCACTGCAGATGGTAATTGGCTTGAAGCTCGAGGATGAGATGCTCCCAACCCTGAGAGAATAATGCAGAAAATTTTTTTTTATTAGTTTTTTTAGTTTATCTTTTAACTCAAGAATATGAAGTGCTCAGAGATAATTAAGTGGGCATATTTTGTGTTTGACTTGATATTGATCAATTGGGTGGTTGGTTTAGAAGTATAAATAGGATAATGTTAAATAAAAGAGGTTTATCTCTTCAACAATAAGGGCAAGTTTCCAGCAAAGGCTTTGGATAAAAGGTGACCTATCTACCCAATTCCAATTTGTTATTGGTATGTGAGGTTAAGAGATCGGGACAAGAAAATCGGTTAAAAGAGAGAAAATAGGGAGGAGATATAAAATATGAAAGTGTTTATCATTTTCTAGTTTATTTAAGGGAGATTTCTCTTCATTGTAAATTAGTGAATGAGTTAATAAAATTTGGTCTCGTGACGAGATTTGATCTTGAGATTATTTTGGGGTGGATTTCCTCTCAAACCTTTGAGAGAGGTATATTTTCTGAATCTTTCTTCTTTTTTTTTTTCTTTTTATGGTTTTATTTTCTCCCTGCATCAGCCTGGGCCACAAAAAGTGCCACCCTAGTTCGGCCTCGCCCGACCCTCTTTTTTCTTTACTTTTTTTTAATTTATTTGTCCTTTTATCGTGCCAGGCTCCACCCGGCCCAGCCTTGTAGGACTAGAGCTAGGCATGGGCCAAGGCCTCTTTGGGATGGTCAGGGCCGGTCTGGCCTTGGGCCGGCCCTATAGGAACCAAGGCCGGCTTGGCCCGGCCCAGCCCTAATTAGTACACATGAGTCGGTGTAAATTCCCCTTTTGTTATTGTAATATGATCAAAAGCCCATTTGACCACGGGCTGGTGTATAGGTTAGCCAAGATGCAGCCCTTTGCCCTAGTAATTGTACTTTCAAACACAAATTCCCCATGATCATGAGGATAATAATATACTTCCCTTAAAATTTCAATATTTTAAAGTCGTCTCTCTTTACTATATTGAATGCCCTCACATTCAAGAAAGCAAAACTCACATAAAAAGAAGATGCTCTTTTCTTTTTGAAAGAGAATATGCTTATTCATAAATAGCGACTCCCACCATACCCATGCTCCAGGCTCCTATAATATGTACCCTCTCCCCTTTGATTTGAGTGGGATTTCCCCATAACCCCCTCCAAAACATAAAGTATTACATAAGGATACCTCCTTCCCAATTCATCAAAGAAAGAGATACCTCTCTTAAAAAATTTAGTCCCTCATCCTTCCATCACTCCACAGTTGGCCATGGCAAACCCATTTCCGGATCCCGGTCAACTGGCAGGAGTCCCGTCGAATTCTGGACAACTTGCCGGAAGCTCAATCAATTCTGGCCAATTCGCAGCAAACCCGATCGATTCCATCCATGATGGCCTTGAATTTTGGCAATTCATGATAGCTGGATCGGTCGCGGGCATCGCTGAGCACATTGCCATGTTCCCTGTGGACACCCTCAAGACTCGCATGCAGGTGGTGAGTGCGGGAACAGGAGCAGCGACCATGGCGCGTGCACTTCAGTCTGCGGTCCGTCAGGAGGGTGCACTTGTGCTGTGGCGTGGGGTGGGTGCGGTTGGCCTCGGCGCCGGACCCGCACACGCTATCTACTTTGCCGTCTACGAGCGGTGCAAGGCAAGGCTAACATAACCATTTTCAAAAAAATAAAATAAAACTCACAGGACTGTGAAAATAACTGTTGAAACTTGAAACGGAGTTATAGTGGCACATTGAGTAAAGAAAAAACTTTATATAGAGCCGAGGCCCTAAATAACAAAATTAGAGCCCACCTCAAAAATTTACTAGAAGGGATTATTTTGATACCCAAATGTCCTCAAATTGATCATCTTGAAATCCAGATACATGGACATGAGAAAGAAATAGATTTCAAGTGATAAAAATAATACATCTTGTAATATATTTTTGAACCATCAATTTTTAAGATTTTTAAGTTTTTATAGATCTGCTCGATCTACACTATTTTTTAAACGTTAAATTGTATAATTAAAGATGAAAATATATTTTAAGGCTATCACAAAGATTTCAAATATTAAAACGACATCTCTCAACACTATTTAATAGTGTGCTTTACTTTGATTGTTTAAAGCCTCGGTTCTATACAAACGGCACCTGTGAGTAAAACCCCTTGTTCTGAATACATAACGTGCTCTCCGCATGGTGCAGTGGCTGTTATGTAAGGGCGTGGCAGCTGTTACAAAGGGACTAAGAGTTGAAGGAAAACGGGTGTTATTCTTGTTATGCTGCATGTTCCATTGAGAATTGCACATCGAGACTTGCACATTCAATCGGTTACAAGGGCATCATTTTCAGTGCATACAGTATTTAATTATTAAGCATATAACGCCCACTCTATCTGTTCTGTCATTCTATAGATTATTTTACAACTTTATAGTAATATGAAAAATAATCAAACCTTCTCTAATTCTTCAGTTTTCAATGTGTTACAACTGCCCTTAACTTTACATAACAAAAATGGGCCCTGCTGATTACTGATCCAATATAACGGATCGTTGAACCTTGGTCCAGGCAGCATTAGGCGCAGAACACACGTTGTCACACGCTGCAGCCGGGGCGGCAGCTACGGTGGCGAGCGAGGCGGTGTCCACACCAATGGACGTGGTTAAGCAGCGCCTACAGCTGAGCGGGGGCGGGTTAAGGGAGTGTATCAAAAGAGTTTTGAGAGATGAAGGATTCAGGGGTTTTTATGCATCCTATCGGACCACTGTAGTGATGAACGCGCCTTTCACGGCGGTGCATTTTGCAGCGTATGAGGCAGTGAAGGGAGCGGTGGTTGGAGAAGAAGAAGAAGGGTTAACGGTGCATATGACAGCAGGAGCAGCAGCAGGCGCATTGGCGGGGGCCATAACGACACCGCTCGACGTGGTCAAGACACGACTGCAGTGTCAGGTGCGTGTTTTATCAGGCCTCTGTCTCTTACATCTATTCACCCTTTCTATTTCAGTCGATTGACATTTTTTTAGGTAATTTGCAAGTTCAGTCAATAGATTTCTTAAGTTGCCAACCAACCTGGTTTTGGTCTGAGATTTTTCATTTTTCATGTTTCATAAGATAATTTTCTATAATAAGGTGCAAAATATAAATTAAACAACTGTATACACATCTTCTTAACAGATCTTTCGGCCCAAAATACAGATTAAACAAGCAATTACATCACTCTACTTAGTCACACTCTTTTTCTCTCTCAATCTTGGGCTGGCGTGTGGTCCGTGGGCCATCTCTGTTTTGCAACTCGTCGTTCTCTCTGCTAATTCACAGAGGGATTGTTTGAAAAAAAAGAAGAGGGGCCGCCACAGCTCACTCTTCCATCCCCAAAAAGTGAAAGACGTCGCTTTGTTTAAAAGCTACGTCTTTCACAAACCAAACAAGGCCGGCGTGGAAGGCCGGTGCGGCTTCCACACGCCTCTCGAGAACATGAGGGCTTGATTTAGAAAAACATGAATTTCTACTCCCAAAAAGTTCCACCAATCAAACATGCCAGGGAAGATTCTTTGATGTGAAGTAGTATGGTTGTTATCACAGCTGTGTTGTGTTGTGTTATGGGTGTGTTTTAGACGTTAGTTCTCAAAAGGCATCTTTGCACGAGTGGTGGGCCTCACTTACTTTTTTTATCTACTTATCTTACTTACACGTGTCTCAATGTGGTGCTGAAGATATGTACGTGTATCTCTCTCTTCACTTGTTTGTAGGACCGGCAAGAAGCTGGGCTAACTTTGGCCCTAGCCTAGCCTTGGCCCCGGTCCTAACAGGGTTGGAATGGGCCAAAATAAATTTAAAGAAGAAAAAAAACAAGGACTAGGTTAGGATAGGCCGAATCAGGCCGGCCCTGTCTTGACCCGGCTAGGCCCCGACCTTAGGCCATGGTGGCCCAATCCTCGGGCCACATTTTGTGGCCTACACGCCCTAGTTTTTAAGTGCCAAACCAACCGGGTCGGGACCTTTTTAAATTTTTAGGTAGAATTTTGTTCCTATCTTGTATACACTCGTCCATGTTCATGTAGAAATATATGAATTTTAATTTCAAAATTGGCTTTCTATAATATTGTTATATATCATTTCAAAAGCAAGTTGTGTAAGATTATAAAAAGGAAAAAAAAAAAAAATTATATAAGGTTGCAACATTATAATATTGAAGCCAAGTGCACCTCAAAAACCTAATAAAAAAGAGTGATTGAAGTTAGCAAACCTTTCAATTTATCATCTCAATGTTGATATATATATATATATATAAAAGAATATCAAGTTCTAAAACTAGTGCGGCTTGTAACAAGTTATATGGACCGGACCGTCTATTTTCAAGATTTTCACATACTAATACATCTACTCGATCTTCATTACTTTTAAAATTTTAAATCTCATAATTAAGGCTCAATATAGATTTTCAAACTACGTAAGGTTTCTGATTACTGACAAAATTTAGAGGTGCATCCTACTTGTAAAGTATAAGGTGGGCACCTTATACCCAATACTTCATGTATAAATAGGACTAGCTATGAGCCAGGTGATCTTGCCCGGCCCTGAAAAACTAGACCCTGAACCACAAAATATGGCATGCAGGTTTGGGCGTGAGTCAGGTCCGGCCCAGCCTGAAGTTTCCTCTTAAGTTCTCATTCTTTTTTAGATAATCTATTAGGCCCAGTTGTAAGCGGTTGTCACTTGGTGTGACGGTAAAAGGCTCGGGTAGCCAGCACTAGAGCTCGGGTTCGAGTCCTAAGAGCAGCCACTTTGTGCATAAAAAGCCAAACATTAAGACCGTTTCTAGCCCACTCCTCATGGGACCCTACATAGGCAGGATCAGTACCTGATTACGACTCTTTTATTAGGCCCAGTTGTACATGTCCTAGACCGAGCCAAAGCCCCTTTCAGCCTGGTTTAAGCCAAACCTGAGCCAAGGCAATGTCCAGCCCAACTTAATGTTTCCTCTTAGTTTTTTATTCTTTTTGGAAGAATCTAGTCTTAGTTTTTTATTCTTTTTGGAAGAATCTATGAGGCCCGGCCTTATTCGATCTAAAACCCGCCATCCCTATAGGGGCCCAGGTCAGGCTAGGCTTATTACCAACCCTAATTTAAGAAAGTAAATAAGTATCCAATAAAAAATCTAACTCTTCTATTTTTCGTGTTTTCCATCTGATATTTCGGCGACAACATTTATATATTAAATGAGCCTATAATTTGGGATTGTCGAGAAAGAGACCATTGATCTTTATATGTGGAGGTTACAATCATCATTGTCCCTTAATTTTCAAAATGTGTGGTTGTAAGAGTGTCCTTGAATAGATACAAAGTTCTAAGAAAAAATTCTCGGACTTCGTGACTCACCCCAAGCCATCCAATTGGAGATCTAATGAATGAGAATGATTGCGACCTCCATGTACAAAAGATAAATGATTTCTTTATAGAAAATTCCTTATAATTTTTTCACAATATTTTTTGTCTGATCTTCTCTTATCCATATCATAAATTCATTTTTTATGCTTGGTTTGATTTCTGCTTTATTTGTGGAATAGGGGGTTTGTGGGTGTGATAGATACAGTAGCAGTTCAATAGGGAATGTGATCCAAGTGATTGTGAGGAAAGAGGGAGCAGCTGGGCTCATTAGGGGCTGGAGGCCAAGAATGTTGTTTCATGCACCAGCTGCTGCTATATGCTGGTCCACTTATGAGGCTTGCAAAGCCTTCTTTCACCAACTGAATACCACCAAGGCCATATTCTCCTAAATTATCTCTACGCTTGAACTTTCTTTATGCACAAGCATAATGGACTGGTTGATTTGTGGTACCTGACTTTGTATGTATATTGCATATTTAAGTGTATAATGTGAAAGCCCTGTGTAATAAATAAAAAAGCTTTTAAATACATGGGTGTTTGAAAACATAGAACCAGGTAGGGGGCGAATCCGAGTGAGATCGTTGAGTCTTGGGTCAGGCCAATCAAGACTTGAACCAAAACTACTCCGTTAGACTCGGTTAATCGGAGTTGGGTTCATTTAGAACTAGCACGGTACTGGTTCTGAGTGATATAGGCAACTTCGAGTTGGACTCTCCAAATTACTTGACATTGGATTAGATAATTGCAACAGATAGTAACATTTTTTTAATTCTTTGGTCAAGCTGAGGTTCATTTACTTGGCTCAAGCTATGGACTCAGGCCCTGCCCGAGCGGAGTAATTGGGGTGAGTCCGAGTGGACTTGCTTGGCTAGTGTCTGAGCCCACAAAAGGACTTCAAAAATATTAAAAGTTTGTTACAATTAAAAAACAGTAACTAAACCAGATTGTATACATAAGATCAATTTACCTTTGGTATATAGAGGTCACAATTACTTATGACCATTCGATGTGAAATCTAATAGCTTGGGTATGTCATAAAATTCGAAAAAATCTCTCTGAAACTTTGAGCTTGGTCAATGAAATAAATGCAGCTAACCAATTTTATATCTAATGGTCATAATTAATTGTGACCACCTTGTATCAAAGGTAAATTGTCTTATTATATACTTTTCCTAGACTATAAACACATTAAGAGTCCAAAAAAGATAAAAAATACAAAAAAGTTGAAATTTGTAAAAAAGCTGATTCATGGTGCGAAACAATTCAAAAATTCAAAATAGATAAAAAATAAAACAATAATATAATAAAAAAAATCCACAAATCATTATCGAAAACATCAAAACTATATATGAAATATTTATATATTAATTTAGTAAAATATAATTGTTATAATTTTTTTATATAACTGAATTTGCTCCCAGGAACCGTACTCAATAAGGTGCCAAATCTGAGGAACTCGGCTGAGTCTAAGTTGATTGCGCCAAGTTTTTAAATCCCGACCAAGTATGATTTAGAATATGAAGTGTATATAATAAAACCATTTACTTTTGAGACAAGGATATCACAACCGTTATTAACTGTTAGATGTGAAATCTGGTGGTGGAAGATATGATATTGATTGGGTACACAATCCAAAATAAATTTTCTCAAATATTGTGACATACTTCAATATGTTAAATTTCACATGTAATAGCTAAAATGATTATAACCTCCTTGTACTAAATATAAATGGTTTTGTAGTATATACAATCCCAAATACAGTAACCCTTTATGAATGACCAATTATTGGCGGTCATATTTAAAATGGAGACCTTCATGACTTACATCTAGTGTTTGAGTTCAATGATGCGTTTTTCGTGTAGTATTTGAGATCAATGAAGCGTTTTCCGTGTAGTATTTGAGATCAATTATGCGCTTTTTGTGTAGTGCTTTAGATCGATGCGTCCTTTATGTCTGATGTTATTTCAGATAATTGAGTGCGCAGGGGTAATAACCCAAGGAAATGTGCATTTCATGTAACTTGACTTGAATGATATATAGCTTCTTGCTGTAAGTTCCTCAGGAACTCCTCACATGCAGAACTAGAAATCCTAAATGTCAAGATCACACCAAAGATCGTCTATATAATTGGCTAAATATAAAATAGATAAATACGATCGTAAGAGCTGTGCGAGAAATAAAGCAAAACCCAAAATTACATTTTTGGAAGACACGATTTACATAGTTCACCAATAAGGGCTATGTCCATGGTCTCAACAAGAAGAATCCACTCTTAAATGAGTATTATAGTTTTGAGTAACAAGAAATATATCTGTCTAAACATTAGTAAAATTCTAACCAATTTTTGTAGAAACGAAAAACAATCGACAAAAACAAGAAAGAAGAAATAAGCACAAAAAAAAGAGACAATCAACTACAACGTAAAGATATTTGTGGTTCGGCAACGTGCCTACGTAATGAGAGATTATTTACTAGCAATGGAGAATAGGGTTACAATAGATCTCTTCCTCACGGCTCTCTGTTCTCTCTGATTACAAAGAGATTTGTGTTTTCCCTTGACCCTAAAAGAACCCCCCATCGTAACAATATATATCGAATCCCAGATAGATGGTAAAAATTACTGAAATACCCCATGTACAGATATATATCGAATTCTAGAATTATCAGAATACCCCCCTTTGGCCCTTCGGGCTTTTAACGGCCCTCCGGAGTCATCCTTTTGACTCCACCTTGGCAGATCTATTTCCTCATAATACAAGACATCAATCCTCAACAATTTCCACCTTGACTTGAATTATATCGAGCCACCTTGAAGATAACATGAAAATGTCTTCATCCCCGTACCTCCATAAAGGTATGTGACTGGACCCCCACCTGCCATGGGGTGCTTCCCTCACTCTCAACAATGAATGATATTAAGCAAGTCCAAGCAAAACTTGAACTTCTCCGTAGTGACCGGCTTTGTAAGTATATTTGTAGGGTTGTCAGTCATATGAATTTTCTTCAGGTGAATGATTCTTTCTGATACAAGCTCCTTGATCTTGTGATATCTCACATCAATGTGTCTTGTCCCTGTATGAAACATTTGATTCTTTACAATATTTATGGCATTCTGATTATCACAATGCAACACATTAGCTTCTTACCCCCAACTTACGAGCCAAACAAGTCGACCAGATCGCCTCTTTTGCATCCTCAACTGATGCCATGTACTCTGCCTCTATTGTAGACAAGGCAATCGTGAGTTAAATTTCATGAACTAGGTCCACCCACTAGTGTGAATACATACCCTGTAGTAGACATTCGCTTGTCTAAATCACCAGTATAGTCGGAATCGACATATCCCACCAGTTATATAGAGCTTCTATTCTTACTGAATATAATTTTGAGATCTGACGTCCCGCTCAGATATCTGAAAATCCACTTGATTGCATTCCAATGCTCTCTGCCAGGATTACTCATATATTGACTAACAACACTGACATCATGAGATAAATCCAGCCTGCTACAAACTATAGCATACATGAGGCTTCCGACTACGCTAACATAGGGCACCAGAGACATCTACTCTATCTCCTTATCCGTAGTGGGACACTGCCGTTCAGATAACTTGAAATGACTGGCTAATGTAGTACTAATTGACTTGCCATTTTTCATGTTGAAACGCTTCATCACCTTTTCAGCATACCTTTTCTGAGTTACCTAGAGTTTACCTGCACTTCTATCTCTATAAATCTCCATACCAATGTTCGTATTAACAGCCCTTAGATCCTTCATATCAAACTCAGAACTTAACATGGACTTGAGAGAGGATATGTCATATGCATTATTGGCAGCGATGAGTATGTCATAAATATAAAGCATCAAGAAAATAAGGAAATTATCATCAAGAACTTTAAAATAAACACAACAATCATGCTTACTTGTTTAATAGCCAATCCGTGCTATGAAAGAGTCGAAGAGCTTGTACCACTGCCTAGGTGATTGCTTAAGACCATAAAGCGATCTCTTGAGCAAGCAAACTTGATCTTCCTTTCCATGCACCTTGAAGCCTTCAGGTTGCTCCATAAAGATTTGTTCCTCCAGATCACCATGAAGAAACGTTGTCTTCACATCAAGCTATTCTAGCTCTAATTCAAACATGGCTACTAAGCAAGTAATAACCTTATTGAAGTGAGCTTGACAACTGGAGAGAATATTTCATTGTAGTCCACTCTCTCCTTCTGAGTGTAGCCATTTGCTACGAGCCTAACCTTGAATCCTTCACATTCTTTTGCTGTTGCTGCCTCTTTCTTCCGAAAGATCCACTTGCACCTAATCACTTTCATTCCCTTAGGCCTCTTGACAAGCTCCCAAGTCTTGTTCTTTTTCAGAGACTCCATCTCCTCCATCATGGCTGTCATCTATTTATCATTATGTGCATCACTTAGAGCATCTTCGAAATAGTCGATTTTTCCAGTACCAACTGTTAGAGCAAAAGCTATCATGTCCTCAAAGCCATATCATATTTTCATATATTTTCCCATATTATGGGAAAATATGGGATTAGCCCACTAGCTCATATGAACATATGAGCCCAATGTCTTAGATTGATTCTGGGCCGATTTGATGATCACAGATGTCCGGTAGTGTTTGAATTTTACTTTTTTTCTACAAATTCAAATCACTTGAAATTTTAGACATGTGTTCATCAAAAAATAGATGAATCTTTGAAAAATATCAAAAACTATTTTACATGAAATAAATTGACCAAAATACCTTCAAAAAGTTTTGAGGGTATTTTGGTCTTTTGTTTATTGTAAATAATTTTTTATATT